AATGGAGAACGTGAGAGAGGGAGTTAAGAAGCGTGAGAGAGAGAGGACTATTTGGATTAGGAGACTAATTCAAGAATTAGTCAAATAACGTTTAAAATAAATAAATACAAATCTGTTTTTGATTTATTTATTTATTTATTCATTTAAAACGTGAAAGGACAATTACGCCCTTAAATACTTATTTATTCTTATTGATAAAATTTTCTTTTTTTGAATCGTTACAATGTGGATAAAAACAGGTTTGATTTGGTAATTTCTTATCCAATGATTCATCATTGTGGTTGATTTTATGCATTTATTTTGTTGATATTGAATAGGTAAGAATTACGTAAAGTGTTTTCGTTTGTGTTTGATCTTCTTTTTCGCTGGATCAATAGGCAATTTTGTTGTAGTTGATGAGAGTGGTAGAGAAGAAGCTACTGAATCAGGTAGAAAAGTGGGATGTGTTGTTACACAGGTTCTCTATTATGATCAAGTTCGTGTGCTTCAAAAATCACCAGAATGGTGAGACTTTGAAATTCAATCATCTATTTCTTTTCGCCTTTTTTATGGATTTTGGGAAAGAGCAGGGGATTGTTTTCATTCTAAAATCTCTTTTGAACTGGAAAAGAAGTAGGGTCATCATGGTCGATGAGTCGATTTTTAAATCTCTATCGAAATGGATAAATTGTTTCTAGCTTGTGAGCTGTGAACGTGCAACTAGCATATTTTACAAAGATTGTTGAGCTTAAGAATGATCAGTGATGTATGGAAACAGGAGATAATCTCCTTATGATGATTTGAAGTTGTATTCTTATGCTTTTAACTCTCATATGGGTTGTAGGAATATCGGATATACAACATTTTAAATTTTTGTGTTTTAACATCCACCTTCGACCTTGTTCTAGCAAGTCTGTAGGTTTTTCTGTTACATTGTAATATGTCAATCAGCTTACATACAGATGAAGCCTCTCAGTCACTACTCCGCGGAGTATGTTTAGTGTTGATTTTGACGCAGTTTGTCATTTATATTTCCAACGGGCTAACTTCAGTGATACTTTGGTCTGCCACGTAATATTTGCAAAATAGAGGGTAACTTTTTGTGGGTTCGGCCCTAATTGAGACATCACACTTCCTCACGACATTCCTCTAGCTAAGACGTAATGACTTCAATCCACTGTGCAGTGCTGTCCAATTGGCTGGTAAGAGTCTGTCAGTGGATGCTCCTCAGGAAGGGTCATACTATGGTCTACAGCTCTCCTCCCTCAAATAGTTTTTGTTCAGAAATTTTCTTATGTTGTGTGTAATCCCTGTGTAGGCCAGAGATCTTCAAATCCACAGCAGTAGAGAGTTCGAAACAGGATAATACGCAATCACAGAATTTCCAGATGAATGAAAGTGAAGACTCAAGTGATGATGGACTCCCTCCATTAGAAGCCAATACGAACAGATTAAATCCCTTTCAACAGGAGTCGGAAACAGAGTCTGATTCAGATACCGATCCCTGATCCATGTTTTGCTACATTTGTCACTTCATTTCTTTTTTGCATATGAGAGTAGGTGTAAAGACATTTAGTATGTGGCAGTCCATTGTTATGAATTAAGGTCAATGAGCACATACTAATGTCTGATTAGCTTTTTTGCCTAATGTTGATAAAAATTTGTGATGCAAGATATGTTACTGTATTTCCTTTGGATGTTTGACGATTTTGATATGTTTTACTTGAGTTGAGGGTCTATCGTACAAAGTCTCTCTACCTTCACAAAGGATCTCACTTCAGCATGCACATAGCGTATGACAAGTTCATATGGGTGTTTACATAATCTTCTAGCGACGTGAAACGAATGAACACATACACGTTGCTTAACAGCCCTATGTTACACTCAGCTTTCAGTTCATATTGTTTTGGAATTAACTTTCTAGGTTCTTATATTTTAGCTAACCATAGGAGAATTTTTCAACAACTATGTACCTGTAGATCTTCACATATAATCATCTATTCCACCTACTTTTCATTTCATATTATCATGAGCTCTCTTGTTAAGGGTTGTATCGGTGGTTGGGGTGTCAAAGTGACTGAGCAGCCTCAAGCAATGGCTGCCCACCGCGGCTGTCATAGTTGTCAGAGATAACAGTCGAGTTTTGAGTTTTAGACTACCCACGAGCTAGAGGTCTCGATTCAAGCATTGAAAACATCCTTATTTTTACTATTTCGGAATATTTGATATTTAAGTATCCGTTCTTGACTTTTTCCATTCAAACCATAAATTTTCCACTAACACTGTTGCAACATATTTATAATACATCACAAAAAAGTTTCACCTTATTTAAGTTTACATAGTTTTTACATATATCAAACTAAATTTTTGTATGTATTCATTGATCATCTTTAAAATTAATATCAAAAAGCTATGAAAGCTACTTCTCTAACACCTTTGTTTGGCTGGTTGTTACCGATTTATATTGTATTATTTTATTAGTTTAAAATACAACATTTTATTTTAATTATTACTTAGATTTTATTTGTATCGTATCGTTTAAATTCTTGATCAGATAACAATGAAAAGATGCATTTTATGTAACAATCGATTTGATGTGATCACATCGTTACCTTAATATTTTCTTCTTATTTTGTCCTTATTTATCATTTATTAATCATATATCATCTTTTATCCTACTTTTTTATAGTAACTCTAGATTGTACTCTTCTTCTCTTATAAATTATCATTCAAATTATAGATGTATGATGTTATATAATAACAAAGAACGATACAATCTATTCAAATAATATATTCATTACAATAATATAATAAAATACAATACGTGTAAAAATCATTCAAACAGACATCTTATATTTCTAAAAAGATAAATCATTGCGTGTGTAGACACGTAAAACCAAAATATAGTGGTCATTAATCAAAATCCAAATTAGGATGAAAATGGTCAATTACGCATTCTATTATAAGCTTGACATCTGTCAATACTCAATACTTTATAATAGTGCCAAAGACTAATCTCTTGTGAATTTTCAAACTAATAAGCTATTGGTGTATTTGATATCCATATCTACCATCCACTTCTTACTGTTGGACACGATACAAATATGTTACATCACAAAATGTTACATGTTAATAACGACTAAACATATTGAACGTTATTTTTTGTTTTTATATACAAGTTTAGTCATGACTCAGCTGATTGTACTATGACTTTCTCTTCCAATGTTTGGTGGAAAATATACGAGTAATTACCTTAAATATTCTTCTATGTTAAAAGATATTTGCATAGTGGTTGACTGGTTGTAATTGTTACAAGTTGGATTGAAATTAGTACTTTTATTTAAATTATATATTTGTATTAAAAAAGTTTATTAAATATGTACAAATATTAAACATAAAATCTAATTATTAAAACTTTAAATTATCATTGTTAAAATGTTAAGAGGACACTTTTACATGTTATAATATACGAGTATCTTCTTTAAATTGACTCGAGCTTTGAAAAGTCGTCAATATGTTTTCTCTATAAATACAAATATATACCATATAGCTCATATCTACATGTATATTTAAAATATAAAGTCTTTGTTTTTTCTCAAAGAAGTCTCTCACAAATTTCCCTTATCATTAAAAACAAAAAAAAAGTTGTATAGTACTGAAGCTTAATGGCTAGCACAGGCTGTATTAGAACGTGTGATGAACGTCCTCTAGATGAGACACCAACATGGGCTGTAGCCATGGTTTGCTTTGTATTAGTTGTAATCTCCCTTTTCATTGAACAACTTATTCATCATCTTGGAGAGGTAAACATTCATTTACCTTTCATATTTTTATATATGTTTGAATCACAAAATTATATGTTGCCTTTTGATGATTTGTGTTTATACAAGTCCATGCTGCTATCAGTGAGGAAAACACAAATTTTTAGGTGGAGGGGGACCAAAATGTTTTAAGAGGAAAAGTAGCAAGGAGCAAAACTTAAAAACTTCTATATGCAATTTTGTTTTAGGTAAATATAGTATAATATCATATTAACGTACAGAGTTGTTAATATGGACCAACTTTCCTCAGCTTATGCCGTGGCTTTGAAATTTGACGAGCTAATTGGACCAGCTCACTATTTTAATAGGCCTTAAAATAGTCAACCCCAGTATTATGTGGGCAGTGGATTAGGGCTATTGGTTCATCATTTTTTCAAAACGTATTCTTTTTAACTCTTTTCGTTTCACAAAGAATGACCTGATTTGACTTGATGCGGAGTTAAAGAGTATAAATAAGATTTTTGTATTTTGTAATTCTAAATTAAAGTTGGTTAAATGTAAAAAATTGTTTTTTGATCTTGTGGTCTTAAACATGTCAGGCAGAAAGTTGGAATTAAAATATTACCAAAAAAGAAAAAAGTCATTATTTTTTATACGAATCAAAAAGAAAAGGAGATCATTCTTTTTTAAATAGAGAGAATATAATTATTTTAATCCAAACTTAACATAAAATGCAAAAATATAAATAATGTAAGACAATATTACATAACGTAAAATAAAATAATTGAAAAGAATACCTTATATTTGTCAATACTTTATGTCCTTGTCATTGACGTCAAGAATTTGTTGTCACGTAGTCACAAGTAATAAAGTGGTTAGATTATAAGGGTCGTTTGGTTTGATTAAGAGCAGACTCGAAAGGGAAGAGCGCGGTCTTGGGTTTAGTCTAAAAATTCAATACATCGATAAGGGGCAGGGAATCAATAAAACTTTGTTTGGTGTTTTTTTTAAATTTATGTATAACTAATGTATGCATTAGCATGTTTAAAGAGGTAATTGCCCTTAAAACCTTTTTTTATATCTTTTGGAGGATATCTTTGTAAATAATTTTTTTTATGCAATGCATGATATTTTTAATGCATCAAATCGGACAATATATAAAAATAATCTATGTAAAATCAATACAAGCATAACTAATACATGCATTATTAAGGCAAACATTATTAATACACTCTATTTAGCATTATTAATCTTGTATACTCTATTAAGCGAACCCTTAAAATTGTTACGAGAGATATGATATTAAGACCTAAGGTTATGGCGCTTGCATATTCAATAAAAGTGTTATCCCCTCTCTCTCTCTACAAATATCATATGGTTGGCATTTTTATATTTCTTAATGTTTTTATAGTGGTTATGGAAGAAACAAAAGAGACCATTGTATGAAGCACTTGAGAAGATCAAGTCAGGTAAAAGAAATTTTGTTTTTTCATTACAAAATCATTGATTTTTGGACTAATAATTTTATTTTGTAAATTTATCGTGGTGCAGAACTCATGTTATTAGGGTTTATATCCTTATTCTTGACGGTTGTACAGGATCCTATGTCTAAGATATGTATTCCTAGGAGTGTTGGACGCTCTTGGCATCCATGTGACATAAACAAACATATTGATGACCAATATCTCGATCCATGTAGAATTAAGGTATTTTTTTAAATCGAAACTCAAAGGTTACCCCTTTCTAAGAGCTTACACCCTTTGTGTTCTCTTGATCAAAGACATCTCTCTGTCAATGGATATAACCCTTTTGGTATGAATAGTTTATCGGTTTGGGCATGGATGTTCTTATTTGGACATCTTGTTTGGGCTACTGAATTTATGTTCTTAATTTCTTGGCGTGGATATTGGCAGGAATTGTTTATTGAGAATACTAACCCTCTAGACAACCCAACCTCTAAATTTTACTTACTATAAAAGTAAAGACACAAATCTAAACTCTAGCCACTATAACATCAAAACCACTCCACTTTACTAGAATGTCAAAACATACCATTAAGATTGACTTTATTATTGTTATAATTGGTGAAGTTTTATAATTTCACTTTTATAATGGATAGTTCAATTGCTAACAAATATTGATTTTCTTTTTTACTATTCTAAGGACAAAGTGTAGTTATTTTAATAGCAAAATAATTTAATAGTTTATAAAGATCAATACTTATGAGTAAAATTAACCAAGAGAAATGTCTTATGTATATTGATTTTAAAAAATTATACTTTGAATATCTTTTTTTTCTACTTTGAATACCAAGATAGAGCTCGTTGATCTAAATAAATCATCCTTCCGGCCTCTCTCCGCTCCACACCCCGAAACTGACTCGAGTTCTTAGACATTTGTTAATTACTAACGAAAATTTAGATTAATCAGGTCAAAATTAATGAGTGTCAGTTAAGAAATGGTAAACAAAAAAAAAATGATTCCTTCTTTTATTAAAGTCGAATACATATATTTGGTATTGATCTAATATGACCATAGAATAAATATGTTGCTGACTTGCCTTATATATTCTGATTGAAATGCAGGGGAAACTCCAATTTGCTTCAAAATATGCAATTCACCAACTCCACATTTTTATCTTTGTGTTAGCCGTTGCACATGTGTTGTATTGTATTACCACTTTGGGAATTGGCAAACTAAGGGTAACTTCTTAAGATATATTTAATACTCCGTTTCTTTTATATAATAATAATTATCCCAAGTACTCACTCTTTTTTCTAAAAAAAAAATGAATAAAATTTATGATTCTAAAATACAGTTATGTCCTTAAATATATCGCGTGAAAAACTGCAATTAAAGTGTTGTTAAAAAATAAAAATGGTCATTCTATTTTAAATAATTTTTTTTTAAAAAAAAAACGATCATTCTTTTTGTAACAAAATAGACGGTAATTAATGATTTGTGTACATTGAAATGCA